ATAAACAAGTAGTGAGCAGGAGGGCTTCCTGAAACAGAATACCCTCCAGTAGCACTACCTGAACATTTGTGCACTGCTTGCCACCAGAGGGTGCCACATGCTAAGATGGCACAGAATCCCTCCAGCCTTAAAGGATTGCAAGGGATGAGATGTTTAGATGTTATTTTTGCAAAGTCATCTATGAGACATTAAAAGTAGTCCTTTGTAGATAAGTATTTCCTAACCACATAATATATAGAAGACTGTGAAATGACAAGAAAGAGAAAACTGTACACAACTAGGAGCCAGGTAACCACTTCAGGGCAAACTAATATTTATTTAAGGAGGTCAGAGATGTCTAGTGGTTTTTAAACAGAAAAATGTAACATTATTGACTCATGTTCACTTCTCAAGTTTCTTGTGCCTTGAGAATGAGCACATTGCTGACTTCTGATTTCTTTTTAATTAAATGGGAAATAGGAACTTTTAGTGAGATGCTAGAGTAGGGTGGGCATGTGAGAAAGATGTTTTGCTGACCCTCTTCACAGCCTTTTGAAACCACGTTTTTGCATGCAATGTTATCCTTTGAACAATTACGTTTTTTTAAACTTTGTTTCCAAGGTCTAGATCAGTGTTTCTCAATCTTGGGAACTTTAAAATGTGTGGACTTCAACTCCCAGAATTCCTCAGCCACCTCTGGGAGTTGAAGTCCACACATCTTAAAGTTCCCAAAGTTGAGAAACACTGCTCTAAATTCTTCTATTAGAAACAGTACTTTTGGTTGCAGGGACTCTGCACTCCCAACATTCATATAGCAAGATCTGATGACATGAAGATGCATCTACGTATTATTAGTGCAAGCACAGTGTTTAGTTGTGTGAATAGAGATTGTGACACTCTTCCATGATCGTGCTCTTTTGCAAACTTTTCATTTATGCAAAGTATTTACTTCATAATTTAGCAGGTATTTCCTGATGCTGTACAACTTAAATATATCCCTGCCAAGTCCCAGGAAGCCTATCCCTTCCTTTCCACATCTCTACAATACCTGGTCCATTGGGGGCCATGTTTCATTATTTGAAAGAGGCAAAAGGGGGAAACAGGAATATTAACTTCATTCTCCCAGAAAGTCTTTTTCTATAAATGCCATGATGTAAGACAGGACGAGCTACCCCTAGTGCTGTACTGTGCAAATGTATCCTTGAAAATGACCCAGATATAACCACATAGAGGACTTTTCTTTAAATGTACCTGGATATAATGTCAACTTTAGATCCTCTCTGGTTCTGGTCCTTAACAAAGGAGCGAATGTCAATAGTTATGCTTCAACTGCAGAGCATCCTCTCTTTATATGATTCCCAGACTGGATTGTTTTCTAAGGATGGTATGGTATTGTACATTCAGTTTTACTGCTGGTTTGCCTTTGGACTGCAGCTACTGATGTTACATGGGATTTATTATTTATAGCTTTTGATTTTACCATGATGTAAACCACCTTGGAAATCAAAGAAAAAGCAAAGCAATCATATTCTAAAAACATATATCACACTAGAATCCTCTGTAGCTCAGGTGATCTAAGATGTTATGTTGGAATGATTAGATACCCATGAGCGACACTACTGGAGGTGCTGCGGTAGGATATCAATATTTAAATCAACAAAAGAATAAAATAAAATATTGAACTACACAACAGTAAAAAGAAAAATGAAGGAGATTCAACAAATTTTCCTTACATTGCTAAAAAAACTCATTCAGAAACTAATTTTCAGGTTTTATCAGTCTCTTTTAATGTATGCAGAATGACCCCATTACTTGAGTTACCTGAATAGTTTCACAAAAAGATACTTTTCATCTGTTGTTTGTGAACACAACCATATGAATATCAATCGGCTTTGGGATGTGAGAGGAAAATATCAACCTAATACTAAGGTACTGATAATTCACTAATGTTGTAAGCTGGATTTGAGTGTTGGAAAAAACAGAAAAGTGGGTTATGCATTCAAAAATAAACAAACATTTTAGAACTTGAAATGTGCTTGCTCGTGTAGGGAAACCTGAAACTGGATTAAGGTCTCAAAAGCAGAGAAAGAATGAAAGTATGATATGCTTGTCCTAGTTTTCAGAATGCAAAGTGCTGGGTGCAATCAGGTATGCTCAAGTACCGCAGGAGTACTGAGAAAATCTGGTCATGGAATCTACTATTCGATTCTGGACCTGAAGAGTTAAGCTTTATTACAGCAATCATCTTCTCAAAGCATCATATGCAATTAGATAAATGTGGGAGCAAAAAACTCCCTCCAGAAAACAGATTTTAAAAATGTTTCAGCCCACTTTCTTCATGCAAGAAGTAACAATTTTGCCTGAAGTACTATGATATACAGGTAATGCAAATCAACCAGGAGAACCTCCTATGATGATCCCTGCAGGATTCAGAATTGTGTCTCAATGGAGCAGCATAAATTTCAATAAAGGACCTTGACTTCACGAATGGCTGCTTTTCAAAGGAATACCATACAGATTTTTCTCCCAAGAATCATTGCTGGAATTCTATCACTGTCTAATCAGGATTTTGATTAGTTGTGTGTGTGCACAGGCCACAACAGAGCATCAGTCCTAGTTATGCACAGCTGATCTTTTATACACAGTTCCCCTTGATTGCTGCATAAGACATGTCTCTGTTTTCATTTTCAGGCAACAGGGAGACAGCTGTATTATCTCATTCTTCATTAAATCCTACAAATGCCCCTCCAAATAATATGCCACTCTTCTGTACTAAGCATCGCTCACATGACAAAAAAGGTATCTAGGACATGGGAAGCTTCATTTAATATAACAAAAGGGTCTCAAAATAGAATTGCAGCCCTCTTCACTATTTCATATTCATTGCCTCTCCTCTTGTAAGATACCAAACTCTATGGCTCTGAGTACAGAGGAATGTCTCGGAGAGAAATGTCCTCATGGGGTTTGGTGCCATCATACCTCTGTGATCTCAGGCCATCATAGGCATTGGATTTCTCAGCTGATTTTCTTCCAGCTCTGTGTAGTGCAGCTTAAATTGTAACGTTTCCTTTTTTAGCTCTGCAGGGTTTGGGGTGGTCTGCTTTTCTATCTGTGGAAACCTCTGTCGTTCCCTGCCTCTTGATCCCTTGGCTTTCTCCTTTTCCCATTTTGCACCTGTTGTTCTCTTTGGGTTTCGAGGCAGCTTTATAGTTAGTGACTTGGCTATTATTTTTCTGCTGCAGAAACCAAGGAAGCATCAGGCGGGGATACAGGTAGGGTGCCAGCTAGAGGCTGATTTGGGCACTTCCTTATTGGGCAGCTAGAGGAAATGGTGGTCAGCTCAACTTGGGCTGCAGAGAGGACAAATGTGGGCTGTTGGATTGGCTGAGGGTTTGAGAAATGCTTGATAACAATCCCACCACCACCACCACACATGAAGTACCATCTCTTCCTTTCCTTTAAATTTTTCCTTATCAGGGCAAATAAGGATTATTTGCACACTAGGGGCAGGCTTTGATCACACAGTTGTGATTGCCATCTTGACTTTTTTGACCCTCTATCTCCCCCCGGAGGCCTGTCCTTGAGGCAACTAGTTCTATTATATTGTCCCCAAAAATTCTCAAAGCCCTGTGCCACTGTGGTCCGTGTTAGGTGTGAGAATAAGAAAAGGTGGAAAACAGATTTAGAGGCTCATACTGGTATTAGAGACTGAAACTAGAGTTTCAGGTAAGTATAAGTTGAGTATTGTTGTAGTTCTGAGCATAAAGAAGGGCTGATTGGAGCCTGGAATATTAGGATAATGGCTGTGACTTAGCACACACAGCGGAAAGAAAATGTACTTGTGCATCATCCATCAATCCCATTTTCTGTTGTAGTGTTGCAATATGCAAAGTCACTCTGAAAACCAATCTTGGATGTAAGACCAAGGCTGGGCAAGTTCCAAAGAGTACCACAGGTCTCCTAGCTTGATGCTGAATAAGAACTATCTATCTATGTGCTCTTGGCTGATGGTTACTGTCTGAGCATTATTGGTATCGATTCCCAATGGTGGTTGCATTAAGCTGGTCTGAAGCTCAGTGTAACAAATGGGAAGTCCTTTCAATTCTCCTGCTTGCTAATTACAATCCTGTCAATTGGCCAGCTAGTTCCTCTGCAATGGACAATTTTGTACACTCCTTCCAAAGAATTAACAAAAGTATAAAGGCCTCTATGACCAAGTCACAAGGCACAGAGCCACTTTTGTTCTAGCAGTCACTGCTGACATATTCCAGCTCTTATCATCTAGTGAAAATTAATAATTCATGAGACACCTCAGAAGATTACATCAGCCCTCCTGACACATACATACATACCACATCCTGTTGTGCCAGCCATCTGTCTCTACCTTAAAATCTAAAACAGCAGAGAAAGATTTCAAGTCCCATAGCACTACCAACCCCAAAATCTAAGTACAGATTTCACCAGGGGTCAAGAACAAGATTCAGAACAGTTTTCTGGACATTTACATAGCAAAGGAGAAAATCCATTTTCTATATTACAACACAAAGGTCACAGCTATCATTTATTTGCACACAGTGTCAAAATTTGAACGAAGGCAACAATTATCACAAACATTTTGAAAAATGAGACCTGTGTATCCCCAAATACCTCTTGAAAAGCAGAAGAACAGATATATGGTGGGAAGAATATATACAGACCTTGGGTTTTGGTGCCCTGTTATCTGAATAACTTGGCAACAATTTCCCATTTCCACTTTTTGTTAATAGCTGACTCTCAAAGCAAAGAGAAATCACCTCCCTTCATCCTTCTGCACTGGGTACAGAAGCCCATCCTGAGAGGATACTAGAACCCATGATTTAGAAGTCTAATACAAACAGGCTGTGGATACTAAACTGTTCTCCAAGTACTAACATGGCCTAGGAAGTGTTAAAAGGAATGCCGTTTCTTTTAAACCAAGCAACAAGATTAGAAGGTCCATCCCTCCCGTGCTGATTGTACGTAAGAGGAAAGAGAGCACTCACCTCCCTGTTTACTTCTGTCAAGATAGATTGAAACCCTTCGGGCCAGACCTGTGAGAAGACAGGGATTAAGGGGTTGATGCTAAGGGTAAGTTGATCAGCCAAAGCAAAACAAATCTTTAAAAGGAGTCGAAAACACAACCCAAAAGGAACAGAAAAGAACCGAGTTAGAGAGAAGCAGTAGCAAAAGCTTCCATTCAGGAAAGGAAGGAAGACAAGTAGCTTGACTCAAGCAGCCATCCTAGGAAGCCATTAACCATGGGGAGAAAAAACAAAGGTTTCTGGTGGTTGGAGGGTTGCACTCATGCTCCCAATTGATCTGACATTGTCTTCTCTAAGAATAGCTGTTTTCTGGATCTAGACTGAAAGGCATCTTATGTCCAAAGGAGCGTGAGAAATGAAAATACTGCTCTGAGTGACTTTATAGCAGAAATCAACCTCAAAACATGAAGGAAGTCAAACAGAAAACAGCAAGCATGCCTTGTTCAGGCCTCTCTTTCTGAGCCACCAGCTCAGCTGTGGAGTAATATAATAGGCTTCAACAAAGCATACTTCAGTGATTTGCTAATGACCACTCAAGATTTGGAGAGGGAGCACAATTTATAGAGGCATTGCTCAAACAACTGCTTAAGTGGAGAAATTAGTTCTACAAGGGGATACATTTGAAGTAATTAAAAAAAAACAAACGATCTTGAATAGAGATGGAAGGTGATGGCTGCAGACAGTCAGAGAAAAAAAATGGAGATTTAGATATATATTGAGACTGGCTTGACCATAGAAATCCATTTAATCCAGGAAGAGAATTTCCTGCTCTTTTCAAGGCAAGCATCTTCATTCCTGGAAGGAACTGAAGCAGCAGAAACACGTTACAGGGACAGTATACTCAAAAGGGTCACAAGTACCTATGTAGGAAGTGATGGCCATTTTCCCCTTTACAAAACTTCCATATTACAGTTCAATAGCAGTCCAAGCCTAGTGCAGGTAGTCAGAGTACCTGATAAGTCAGACTGCTGATCTGACCTAGGATCAATTATGTTGATGCTGTAAGAAGTGGATAAGTCACTCCTTCAGACACTATGCTGTCTGTTAATAAACCTTTAAATGTCCTCTTTATCAAAGAATCTGTGTAATCCTTGTGAGGTCTGACACATCAATTACATAAATCAGCTTTGGCCTTTTCAAATTACTACTGAAACCCTGAAAACTAATCTCTCTAGACTGGCCTATACTTGCAACTCCACTGAGACAGAACTTGAATTTAACTCCCTCTGCTTTTGTATCTGGTCCTCTGTTTTAACGAGTGCTACCAAATAATTAAGCTGATCTATATTTAAGCAGTTTATGCTTCATAAAAATAGTTGTTCCCAAGATCTATCAAATGCTAGAGGAGCTTAGATGGTGCAGTGGGTTAAGAAGTGGATTAGGTATAAAGTCTACTGATCTTGGGCCTGTAAACCTGATTAAAATTTCAGGGACTATATGGGTATACTGTAGAAAAATATATCAAAATATGATTTGAGGACTATGTATTAATAAGATCTGATTAATAATTCTTTGAGTTCAAGGTCAGCTAGGTGTAATCATTTGCTTTGACCTCATTGCTCCACAAAAAATACTGAATCAGAATAGTCAAGGATTTCTTTTAGGGTATGATCTGCATACATATAATTTATGGTGGTGCTTACATTTATTTCTGAATGCTTTTATTACAACCCAAGTTAGTTTTTTGCTAAACTGACCAGATCAAGATCTATCTGGAGTTAATTCATAACATATACAGGCTCTGAGCAGCCCCTGTTTCTTCATTGCATATAGGGATCCTTTCCTTCAGTGTCATACTATGGTTGAATGTTTTACATAAATCAAAACACTAGATGATAAGCAATTCCAATTTGCTCTTATTTTTCTTCTTTGTAGGACAATGATATTCATCTGATAAATAAAAGTCTGGCAAGGGCATAATTCTTTTTATTAAAAGAAGAGAGGATCTATTTGCTAAGGTGATATCAGATCAGCATAGAACTAAAACCATTTGGACTCCCCTTATACAGGTAGTCTAAATATTTTTCTAGAACAAAAGAATTGCACTATATTATAATGTTGCTTTCCTTCCAGCTGGTTCACCACAAATGAGGAAACATGCATGAGAAGGTCATTAAAGACAGGACACTTCTTAAGTGTGTCATCTGCTCTTGTTGTTCACTCAATCCCCTTGTGAAGTTAGTGACCTATTTTTCATCAAGGAGATCACATCACCAAACAAAGAGTGCAGAACAAGGATGAAGGAAAGCAAAAGCAGAGGCTGTTGGAATAATTCCACTGGCCACATAAGGAAGGAAGTGCAACAGGAGACAGGAAGCATATTATGATCCTGGGTTTCCATAACGAAAGCAGGTACTTCTAACAAGTATCTCATTTCTATAGAGGGCTAATTTAGTTCGCTGCTTCTTGGCGCTGACTAGATTTTTCTCTGACTAACCCTTTCATTCCCACCACAGCAGCAAGAATTGAATCGGAAGATGACTGATTCTTTCACAAAAGCATAATCCACCTAGAGCTTTTATTCATCCAAACAGCGGTGTGCTTGTTAGGAAGCTATGGGGCAGGGGGCGGGGAATCGGACATAACTATCGCAAACCATGCTATTACTATGTGCCCTCTCTTGACTGGTGCTAGGGAAAATGAGATGGCCAGGGGGGTAAAGAACTTCCTTGCTTTACCCCGGATTATCAGTGGCTTCAGTGCTTTTATTCTGGGGAGTAAATCCTTGGGGAAGCAATTCTCTACAACACGAAGTTGGCTAAACTTGCAACTTAAGGTTTCATGGCTATATTTTGTGCCAACATATTAGTTTGCTTTGTCTGCATTACACTTAACCCCGTATAACATGTGCGCATTTTCTCTGCAATGAATGTTGTAAGATGATGGTGTAATAACAGAATTTTCCTGTCTCTTATTAATGAAGTGCAGAAGCATACAACTGAATTTGACTGCATTGGCCCCCAACCTTTATGCTGGAGCCCAAGGATTAAAATAACATCTGCTTATGCATATTTACTGAACTGTATGAAAGGAATGTAACTTCCCTTTAGCTTTGGACTATTTTTTAATGCAGTAACGCATAAGCATAAAAAGGAACTCCGTAAGTGGCTGTTAATAGTTTAAGCCAATTTCTGAAAATGGTACCTTCTGTCAGAACTGGCATCAGAAAGATAACTCAAATTCTGATTTTATTTAGCTAAGCTGCTACTACAATCAGAACTGAAAATATTACAATACAGCAGTACACTTCATATTGCCCCCTACAATTTTAATATCTACCATAAGCATAAAAAGGAACTCCGTAAGTGGCTGTTAATATTTTAAGCCAATTTCTGAAAATGGTACCTTCTGTCAGAACTGGCATCAGAAAGATAACTCAAATTCTGATTTTATTTAGCTAAGCTGCTACTACAATCAGAACTGAAAATATTACAATACAGCAGTACACTTCATATTGCCCCT